GAATTTACCCACCATCCCCTCAATCTGTGCCTCACAACAGCACCTCTTGCCGGTCTCTTCACTGTCTCACCCCAAACACCAGCCTCATTACCGAGACGCACCCCATCAACACTCAGCACAGAGTTCGCAGGCACTTGGGTTCTAAGGAGGTCTGCAGTTTCAGAGCGCGCGTGGGCATGCATCCTCTGAAGGGTACAGGCTGTCTCTGAGGGGTCATTCTCAAAGCCAAGCCAAGACTAGCCTGACCTCCTCTGATTTCTCAGATGCAGCAGGTGCGAGCTTGGAGAAGGCCATCTCCGGGCAGGGAGCAGCTGGCAGAAATACCCGAATTGTGTGTATGTTGCTATTTTCTGCCCAGTGTTCCCACATCATCCCAACTGTAGATTTACTTGACTCCAGCAACTTCATTTAGCTTCTTCTCTTGCCATTAAGAAATGCAATCACCTGGATGTTTGCCAGGACAAGCGGGTCTGGAGGCAGTGTTAGTCTTATGGAGCCCAGAGGCTTCTGCCCACGCTGCATTTATACTTTGGACTGAGAGTTTCATGATTTAAAAAATTTAGTCTCACCCATATTTCAGTGGGATGAAGCTAGGATGACAAATGGACGGATGCCTGTATCTGACAGGCGCAACCTATTTATTTACTATTCCACTCAATTATTTTTTAATTTCATTTAATTTTAAAAAGAGATCAAGGAGAGATGTATTTCCAATAGAAGCTATGCATTTATGATTCCTTGGTTTTTATTCTCATCTACCCATCCATCCATCCACCCACCCATCCATCCACCCACCCATCCATCCATCCGTCCATCCTCCATCCATCTACCATCCATCCATCCATATATCCATCCATCATCCATACATCATCCATCCATCCATCCACCCAGCAAACATTTATTAAAATGCCAAGTAATTGCTAATCATCAGTCCCTTTAATCACACCGGTCATTTGGGTTCAAGATATAGTCCATATGTACATTTAAATGCTCCTTACATGTGGGTGAAAATCCAAAATAAAAACTGAAGACAGTGTCCCTTTGTGAGTTGGCACTGCTTGCAAACATGAAGCAATTCTGCCCACCTACTGCATGATATAGTAGAGGGAACCTGCTATTTGGAATTAAATTGATGTGAATTCAAATCTTGCTTCATGCTCTGCCATTTTATAGCTTTATGACTGGGCAATTTCTACTTAACTCTATGAAATCATTTCTTCATAAGTAATGTGAGAATATGTTTAATAAAATGACATACATAAAGTGCCCATATTGCACATAGTTTATGGTAAATTGATAATAAGTGCTATTTCCCGATCCTTCCTCTTCTGTTCAACATTCATTCAACAACCACTGTTGAGCTCCCACTGACTGAGGTGCTAGGATTCTCACATAGACATAAAGCGAGTTCTTAGCAATAAATAAAAAAAATCTCCCTGGAAATCAGTGAGTAAACAGAGCATGAATATTTGGTGAGTAAATGAAAGAATGAATATTTCCATTTGGGTGTTCCACAAGACTGAATTTCATAAGTCTCTTCTTAGTTTCACCAGTTTGCTCTAAGAAGCTTCCACAATTACCCTTTAACTGTTTTGACATCTTAGTTAACATCTCACATTCATCTCACATTCATTACCTCTAGGGTGCTCGGATTTGTCATCTCTTTTGGAGAAAAGAGTAAGGTGAATTTGGACTCTTCCCTGAGGCTAACTAGAAAAACAACCTCTGATTTGGCCATAGAAAGCCACACAGTTCCTTGGATACCTCTCAAATAGGATTCCCACAAGCCCAGAGCACGTCCTTCTAAGGAGACTCAAGGTGAGGGTCACTACGTGTGTTGGGAAGCTTCAGTCCTGGAGCAGACCTTCATCCCGGGGGCCCTAGAACCAACTTGACACTCCAGAGTTGTCCAGATCAGAGGCAAGCCAGCAAGTCCATGCCATTCCAGAGAGTCACCAGACTAAAGGTGAAATTGGCACAAGATTCTGCTCGTCAGGAAATTTCTCCAGCCCAAGAGAGCAGCATGGTGCCTTGCAAATCTGAAGCCCACCCTGTGATCCTACTTAAATATGACTGCATTTAGGAGATGGCTGCACACTGATGTGGGAGCCATATTTTAAGCATCAAATGGTCCATGAACTTGCTGCATATTAATGATCCAGAAGACCTTAAAAAAATTATAACACCTGGATGTCATCCTGCTCTTCTTTCTTAAGGATGGGACCCAGACATCGGTATATTTTAAGAATTCCTTATGCGATTCTGATATGCAGCCAAGGTTGAGAACTACTGCTATTGACCAAGAACTGGGCTAAAGTTAAGTGACAGGTGAAGGGAATAAGCTTTTGATGAGAACTGGTGAGATTTCAGGCTCTCAGTTAAGCCTTCTACATAGATTAATTTTTTCAACAGGAAACATCCTAACAAAATAACAATACCTGGCACTGGTACAGAATCTTATACTTTTTATAAGAAACTTATTCACCTGCTTTCATTCAGTTCTCCGAATTCACAGAGGTAGAAACTAACTTGATTTCCTAGTTGAGAAAAATAACCTGCATGCCCATAACTTTCCCAGGATCAAATAATTAATATGTACAGAAAACACACAGAAAAATAATTAATGGGGGAGGAAATGTAAATGGTAAATAATTTTATGAAAAAGTTCATGTAGGCAGAAATCAAAGAATGTTCATTAAAACAACAATAAAAATCCAAAATAGACAAATATTTTAAACACCCTGAAATTTGCATCAGTTTTCAGAATGAGGGAAATTATCTTTCAAATATGATCAGACAATGGAATATGTTGGTGGCATTAATGTGTGTTTGTGAAGACTATAAAAAGATTTAATGACCTAGGGACACTCACAATATACTGAAATGAAAAAAGTAGGAAACGAAACTATAATAATCTCAACTGAAAAATGGATTTATCATAGAAAAAAGTACTGGGAAGAAATCTACCAAACATTCACTATCCATCCTGCCTTCTCTTTTCTTTCCACACATTCTAGCCTTCCCAGGTGGGTATGTGCTTTTCTGTGGATGACAAGTTTCTGACCAGGATCAGGGGTACCAGCTGTGTAAGTCACACCAAGTCCACAGCCATGAAATAAGGGGCTCAGGACCACCTACGTGGTCCCCCAGGTTCTGGGGAGCGCTGACGTTGCATTCATTCGCGAAAGTATTGATAGACCATAGCAAGCATTCAATCAATATTCATGTTATCATGGAATCATCTCATAAGCCTGCCTGATAGCTATTTTTCCATATTTATAAAAAAATAAAGCTCACAGAAATTAAGTAACCTGCTCCACGCCACCTGTCTAGAAGAGGCAAAACCAGAATATAAGTTCAGTTCTTCTGACCCCCAAGTGCCCTGCATTCTCTCTCCCCTAATGATTTTCTCCCTGCACTGACCCCCCCCACCTGGACTGACACTGTTGGGTCAAAGGTGTTTGGGAGGAAGAGCAAGACCAGGGGAAATCCCCTCTTGTCATTTTGCTTGAGTGACCCCGAATGAGGCTTTGGGGGGGGCTGATTCTTGAGGGAGTGTGTGTGTTTGAATAGGATAAGGAATCAGAAATGGGGGGAACACTGCCTGTGCCCGTGCTCTTTCAAGTTCTAAGCTAAGTGGACAGCAGTGAGCATAGAGGGCCCCATCCCCATGCTCACCCCTAAAAACACCCCTCAGTAAAACACCCCTCAGTAACTGAGCAGGGTAGCTGGCTCTGGAGATGCTGGTATGAGTGGGGATTTCACAGGCTGAGCAGCTGTCATGCTGTTCGGCCTGGGTTTTTGCAGCCTGTGACTTTCCCATTTATATCGTACAAAGACCTATCACAACCCCGCCCCGCTTTCTTTTTGCTGGCAACACACAGATGGAACCGAACTTCCACATTTGGTCCCCAGGAGGGAGCCGGAGGGAAAAAATATATAACAGCAATGGAGCTATTTCTAAAATGCTTGTCTTTCTGTCAACCAGAGAGTTCTCTGTGGGGGCCATATGACCACAGGTAAATCCTGAGAAGACGTGTTTGTGAGGTGATCTCAAGACACGTAGGTTGTGAAGGGCTTTTGAAATCACCAAAGATATTTTAATGTGTCTGGAGTGCTTTTCCTGCATTGGAAGACCGTCCATTTTTAATTTTTTTTTTTTTTTGGAGAATTCAAATTCACGAGGGTTAATTTGTTCATTGAAGGATGTGCTGAAGCTGAGCTTCCTGGCGGTGCCGACTAGTGCTGCTGCAACTCAAATGGTCCCTGTCTCAGATTTGGGCCAGCTTGGGCCAGGCCTGGAGGCTGATGCCGGACCGTGGTGCCTACTAGAATCCCTGGCACCACGGGCACTCCTGGAGAGGAGGCGCCTGAAACGGTCCAGAGGAGCTGCAGGAACAGTCCCTGGGCCCCCGTGCCAGGCGCCCCAGCAGGCCCCGCAACGCAGATAAAATAAGAACTGACTTCAGCTCACACCAACAACTTGCTGAGAAAAAAAAATTCCTGTTAATGAATGTGCAGCTAAGATCTTCCCAGATCCACACGTCTGACTCTGCAACCAAGTCACAGGAGAGGCAGATCCCTGCGGGCTGCTGCCGTCTGATCCGTGAAGAGAGACAAAGTCAAAAGACTCTTGTTTGTCCCGGATCAGGGGGACACTTGAGAGAGCAAAGGGGCAGGCTTCAGTGCACCTAATGGAACCTGCAAAAACCATCCCTAACTATCCTTTCTTTTTAATAATAGCTCTAGCATTTCTCTCAGGAAAATAGTGGCTGTGATGACTGTCCTTGGAAAATGAAGAGGTCACCATGTGCAGACACCGAATCAGTCCCGTGCACCACGACATGTTCCTGTGTGGACCCACCCCTGGCTGGCCACAGGGCCCAGCTCCGCGCAGGAGCCTGCTCGGGGTTCCAGGAGGCTGAGCGCAGCCAGGGTGCGCGCTGCCCCCCTCTCCTGCCCACCGACCCGAGCTCGGCCGCCCCCAGCCCCCTGCTCACCTCCAGCACAATCTCCTTCATCTGAAACTGCTTTTGTGCGACTTTGTCTGCAGACACGGGCTCGTGGTAGTACAGGCAAAGCAAGTCGTACTTCTTCAAAATCTGCTTGAAGTTCTTCTCCGTGAGACTGACCACCCGGTCCTTGCCGTCATAACTGGGGAAGTTGAGCCCCTCCTCCGCCCTGCAGGAGGCCAGCAAGTAGATCCCCACGATGAACAAGTGGGTCCCCTTCATCTGGGAGAAGTTTTGTTTTCCTTTCCAGAAAGATCGCGTGCAGGAAAGAGGACCGGGGATTCTAGGGGACGTGCTGAGCCCAGTGGGGAGCAGACCGGCTGGTTTTGTCTCCCCTCTGCCCTTCCCCGGGGCCAAGGACCTGCTGCTCACCCCGGGCGCAGCTCACCGTAAGGCGGCTCAGGACAGGGGGCGGCTCACACTCAGGCGTGCGTAGGACCAGAGCCAGGCCTGGAGGCCGAGCCCCAGATACCTCGCATAGCTCTGCTCAGCCCCGTCTCATCAGGAACTCCATTTTTAGGATGCAGTTGTTTGGGGCTAAAAATAAATCATGCAATGAATAAAAAAGTTAGATAGGACGCTGTTGAGGGATTTGCTGAGACAGTGGGTCAGGGTGGTGGAGCGGGAGGAGGCAGCGGGAAGAGGGGAGAGTGGGTGCCTGTGAAGAGAGGAGGCCAGGAAGGTCACAGGGGAGAAATAATCTCAGAGGGAGAAGAGAAAATGAGCGAGAGAACAGGGAGGGTGGCTTGCTGCGCAGAGAAGAGGGAAGACAGAGGCTGTGCGTTACTCTTCGGAGGTCACCCTGCTTCCTGGCAGCTGCTGGCCCTACCCGCTCTCGCCGGCATGGGAGCAGGCGGGCCCCGGGGTGGACCTCCCGTCCTGTACCTGCCGTCCCCGACCTCCTGTCCTCTTTTCTTGGAACCCAGCCCACATGCTTCTGCTGATGGGGAGGCGCCAGCCCCCCACAGACAGAGGCAGAGGCCCCAGTCACCCCAGCCTTCTCTCTCACCATCTGCATTTCTAAGTGAGGTAAAATAAAAGCTCAAAGCTCTTCTCACAAGCCCTCTTGGGTACTTTGCCCTCAGCCTGTCTTTGGTTTTTACATGACCCGTGTTCATGGTCTTGGGCTTTGCTCTTCTGCAGAGGCAGAGTGGGGTGGGGGCCTAGAGGCCTCTGAGCCCCACACATCGGAGTTCAGGTCCCCGCCCCTCCCTCCAGGGACTGAGTGAGCTTGGGTGTGCACGCGCCCTCTCTGATTCTCCGTCCCCAGATCGGGTGGGGGCAGATATGAACGTACGGTGAGGTCAGCAGCAGAGACGGAAGGGTCGGCTGCAAGTGGGTCCAAACGCGGTGACTGTGAGTCTCGCTCCATTCTCACTGGACAGGGTGGCGCGTCAGCTGCGGTAATCATCTGCCAGTTACGTCCAATAATGTCTGTGACCCGTCTCCTGTCCGTTTTCTCCTTGAACCCAGCAGGCATTTGGGGGGCAGAAGTAATTCATGCTCAGAGATGAGCTGAGAGTCAGCAGGATGGGCAACTCGGGTAGTGTGGCTGCCCCCAGGCGGAGGACTCAGCTGTGTCAGAAACGGCGATCAGGCCCCTTTAACTCCGGGCCACGGCCCTGCAGGTCTGTGGCCAGGTATTTTCTTCCTCCATTTGGAAAAATCAGCTTCGGAAGTAATGAGGGCTTTGTGAGGCCCCATGCTTGCAGGGACAGAAGGAAAACAGGAGATCAGCGAGTGACCTAGGGGGTGGGACCAGACCCCCATCCTGCAGCCAGAGGCCCCTGGTAGAGGCAGGCTGATGGGGAGATGGCTCAGGACACTCCATGCGCCAGAAGCCAGGACCTGGAGCACCCGGCGTGCGGCTGCGCCTCATCCAGGCCTCCCAGAGGTGACGCTTCTGTGCTGGTTAAAGATGGTACCAAGGGCAATCATCCCAGGCCCGCTCAGCTTTCCAGGCCGCTGGAAAGCATATGGGATCTCAGCTTTCTGTAGAAAACTGGGGAGGGGGGCAGGCAAGATTTCTGAATGAAACAACCTGTTATTTTTTTTTTGAGGTCAGCTTCCCCAAACGGTTGCCAGTTGTCTCAATCCTCAATCTCATCAAGTTACTTTTATTTAGAATTCGCTCCATTTTTTATCATAAAGTTTGTTTTAAAGATTTATTTATTTATGCATAGAAGAACTAGGGTACAGGCCAGAGGTGCAGGGGGTGAGAGGATTCACCAGACACAGAGTGGGGAACAGAACAGGTGGATTGTCTGAAATACACTGCTGAGGGGAGCAGTGAGCGAGTCAGGAGAGGTCTGCTGCCCCATGTGGGTAGCTCCCTGGCCAGGGATCGAACTCGTGCTGTGGTGGCTGTGGATAGCTTCATGGGTTGTGTCTTAATACCTTGCGCCACCAGGGAGGCTCCAAGTTTTTTTTCCCCCCCTTTTTAATGTTACTAAAAACTGGGAGGTATTTCAAATCAGAGTCTGAATTTCCTGAGTTGCAGTTGACAAAAAGTACCAGGACAAAGGGGTCATTTTTAAAATTTAGTTCAGCCCTTGAATCTGGTTTTAAGCAACTAAGCATTCATGGAAGAGCCCCATGTGCAAAGTTCGCCCCAGATTCTGGACTCTGAGGACCGCAGGCCCCTGCCATCTGCCGCAGAGATCGGGTTTCCCACGGCCCATCCTCGGGGAGAGGCGAGGACTTCGGCTCCTGTCCCACTCCTGGAGATAGGTTTTCAGGTCTGCTGTGTGCCAGCCTTTGCTCTGGCTGCCTTTTCCTAGTTTCATTTTTCCTTTGTCTTACTGCTCACCAACTTTAATTGATGTTATAAACAGGAATCCTAGCTAGTTCCAAGTCAACTTTGCATCTAACAAATCAGCCTTTGCATTTCAGATTTGGCTGCTGCTAAAGCTGGTAGTTGCAGAAGAGGGTTTGAAGGGCGTGGCTGCCCACAAGGCGGTGTGCTCTGTGTGGGTAGTTTACGTGGGCATGCTAAGGCGTGTGTTTTTATGTGCCATTGGCAGGCATTTTTCCTTTGTTTATTTGAACAAGAAAAAATAAAACAAAACAAGAAAATACAAAGAAGTGTCAGTTGTTGTCACAATATATGATGTAGGCCCCTAAGTTTTGGTTAACAATTTTCTAGTCCTTAACTCTGTGTGGGCACCACCTAGAATCCCTTGATCTAATCAAATCCTTTCATTTCTTTCTTCTTGACAAGTGGCGCAATGTCCTAGCATCTATTTTACAAGCTGATCTCCACCGTAATCCATTTTATAGGTGCATCAGGATGGAAGCCATGGCCTTTCCTTCCTTGTTAACGACATCATTTTTTAAATTTTTATTGAGCATCTATGTGCCAGACTCTCTATTGCATCCCTGAACTCACCGAGCTTGCATCACAGAGAGGAGGCAACCGATAACGAACAAGAAGCGTGTGTGTTTGTGGGGGCTTGTGCAGTCCCTGCTTGTGCACATGACATCAAGTAGAGGCACGTGCTGAAGAACAACCGAGAAGGGCAAAGGAGTCAATAGCAGGGGCAGGGAGTGGCTTTTTGCACCGGTGAGGAGGAAAGCACCTTTGAGGAGGGCGCCTGGGAGCAGATGCCAGGCAGGCACGAGCCTTAGGGCCAGGCCCCAGCAGGTGAGTCCATCAAGGGCCTTGACATTGGCAGCCCGCAATGCCGGGACGCCACCGCTAGAGGGCGCCTCGCCCGCCTCGTCCTCCTAGGTGGGCACCAAGACTCTTTTCACCTGTTAATAACACTTGGGGGTTCACACCTGCACTGGAAGGTCAACAGGCCGGGACACTACGTGAGCGACTCCAAGGCAGGTCAGAATAAGGGAACTGGGACCCCAGAGTCCGGACACCTGGGTTCTGAGCTGTTCTGACAGGTGGGACAGAGGCGCCAGGTCAGGTCTCCGCACCTCTCACCTCCCCAATTTGGGGAAGAGTCTCTGGTCTTCTATGGCACGTTTTAAAATTTGCTGCACCCGTGGAAGATTTGCATTTACCAGGAGAAGCCGTGGCGCAGCGAGCACGTTGGAGGAAGTTGGAAGAGAGGTGCTGGCCCAGGAGGGTGTGCAGGCCGGAGCTTGCCTTTCAAGGCAAAACGCAACCAGGACTTCGGCGGCCGCCAGCTCCTTCTTCGGCTAAAATGCTCCCCCCTGTGGACAAAGCCGGGCATGGCACATTTCTTTGTTCGGGCGTCTGTGTCCTGCAGGGCCCCTGGCCTGCGGGCTGGGCACTGTGACTCTCGGAAATGCCTGAGTCCAGAGTCCTGCACCCCAATGTCTGGGGCTTCCCCTGGTGAGGTCAGAACCAGCCTGTTGGCCCCCTAGGGCCTTGATTCCCTCTTAACCCTGAGCACCAGGCAACCCCAGGAGGGTTCCCCTCCGCTCAGCACCAGGAAACTCCCAAACAGAACCGAGCAGAGGAAGATCAAGGTCACTTCAGCCAAGAGCCCGCTGCTCCACCAATAAGCTCCCCAGGTTCTAACGAAGGTTGCTTCTTCAGGGAGGCCCGGAGTGTAGACAGGACTGACATTCACTTGCCGCACACGCCACTTCTCCTTGGAAACATTCTCCCGCGGGGGAGTCTCTTTCCACGGCCAGACTGAGCTTTATTGGAGCAGGGACGGCATCTGTTCGTCTCCCGTGCACTCGGCACAGCTATTGTAGTTGCCATTAAATATTTATTAAATAAATATGAAGTACCTAGCTTTGTGCCAGGGCCTCGTCTAAGTACACATTTAACTCCTTTATTCTTCTTAGCAACCCATGAGGTTGGTAAGTTTAGCATCCCCTTTTAGGGTAGGTGGGACACAGAGGGGTTAAGAAACTGACCTAGGGTCACGTGGCTAGTAATGGCCCTGCTGGGATTTGAACCCCAAGGTGGGCTTTGTGATGGTTTTGGACCACAGCTAGCTGCCTCGCGCAGGGGGTGAGGAGTCACTTGGACAAGGCAGGAATTGCTTCAGAGGGTGCGCCCCACAGTGTGAGACTCCTTGTTGAAGGACAGGTGCTGGGGTGTCCCCTCCTTTCTGTGTGTGTAGAAGGAAATGAACTAATGTGCTCAGTGCTTGCTATGGGCCAGCCATGGGAACGAGACATTTTTTTTTTTAAATAATAAATTTTATTTTTATATTCCCCATACAATTGCAACCCCCCATTCTGACCCCAATCCCTCCCCTCCCGCCCCCCACCCCCCATAGAGTGTCTCTGGTTCATAGTTTTTTGTTGATTTTGATTTTCACTTTCTTATAGTTATTCATTTTCCTGGTCCCTTATTTAAGTTTTCTAGATTCCTGCTATGAGTGAGACCATCCGGCAGTTTTCTTTTTCTTTCTGGCTTATTTCGCTGAGCATGATCCCTTCCAG